CGAGTATGATGAGCAATGCTATAAAAAGTTTCAATATTTTATCAACCAGTTTAAACATTCTATGTAACTATTTCGATAATCCAACAAAATTATTTTCAGATCTCTATCTACCTACATTTTTAGATATTTCCTCTAAACTGTTCTTTCCGTGCACAGTTAGGAACGTTAGGACGTCTGTGATAGACCTTGATGAGTCATTTTGCAATTAAAAGAGATGCATCGTTTACAGAAGATTGATAGACCGTAGAGAAAATGTCATCAGCCAAGGTCGAATCACGACGAGTAACTGTAAGATCTCTCTTCTCTGTTATAAACTGTAATTTGGAAACGTCGAATCACCGTCGCGATCGAAGATTAATTAATCCGTGTTGTGCGCGATTCAATCTTCATGACGCCGTGCGTAACGCAATTGAACGCAATTCTGTGCAGCCCGAAAAGCCCGATGACGATCATTGAGAGGGTGGCGTTAAACTTACGCGTGACCTGCTCGCTCGCGCACACGTGTGCCGTGCACCGGGTTGGGAAAAGCTGGAAAACGCGCGGCGCTTTTCCAATGACAATCAGACCGCAGCGACCGCCGACGGAATCCCGTCCGCGTTCCGCCACGCCCAATAAAAACCTCCTCTCTCCCTCACTGCCTCGCAACCCCCGGTTTTCTGCCGCTGCCCATCCCTCGTCCCTTCGAAACCATCTCGTCGAGCGGCCTAATAAATCCGACAGACGGGATTGGCGTGCGCTATCAATTAAAAATGATGAAACCGAACGGCGCGGCGCGCGGCTCGCCACGGATAGAGCGAGCGGAGAGAGAGATGCCCGCTTGCGTTCGCGAGCAAAGCTGATTCCGCAACCGCCTTGTCCGCTCTGCCGTAATAAGCTTAAGCGATTAGGTATACCTCGGGGGCGGCCCGAGACGGTTGCGGTGCTACGGTTAGCGAGAGACGCGGGGGTGGTGAAAATAAACGAGGGAACAAGACGCGCGCGCGGACCCGTTTGAAAAACTGGGAAAAAGCTCGCGGAAGGGAAGAGAGAGAGAGAGAGAGAGAGAGAGACGACGGAGTGCGAGAAGACGGAGCGAGCACGCCGGCAGCTCACGGTGGGTTTTAAACGCAATTTAAATTTTTAATTGCGAGTCCGTCGACCCCGAGGAACGACGCCTTCCTCGTCCTCACGCGGCACTCTGTTCACGTTTTGTTCCAAAGCGCGAACCAACCCGTGTGTTTGCTTAAAAATTCTTTTTTCCAAATTTCCTTGACACTGACTGGACAAACATTCCTATTCATCGTGCACAAGAAATTGTAATTTTAAAGAGAGAGAGTGTCTTCAAGTTAAAGTGTTTTTTGTATAAATAACAGCATGCTTAAAGATGTATATTACATGTATTTTTTTTTAATGAAAAAATTACAGATTTTTTAATATTGTATTTGAAAGTAATTCAAAAAGTTTCACGGGAATTTGGATAAACAAATTATTTCAATAAGAAGTAGACAGTAGTAGTTTTTCAAAAGTAATTAAGATAAAATGAGAAAATTTTTACATTATATGTACATTGTACATTATACAATTATATTGTTAAATATAAATATTGATTTTATTGACGTATAATTGCACTGTTCTGCCGCGAATCTATGCTGCAAACTTTTAATTGTACAAAGCGGTCTTAAAATTAAACGTGATGCACAAAAACTAGGCGTGTCCAGGTCGTATTAAAACTACTTTGAACAATTATTAAATAAAATAACAAACACACGCAAATATATTATAAAAAGATTATAAAATTAAAATGATGAATAAATTTTAATTTTATTTTTTATTTTGCGAATAATTATAAATTTTATATCGAAGTCTGTCGTTATATTATCGGCAAGAAGAAAAGATTACGAATATATTGTATTTCTGACTTCTTGAGTACAGTATTGACAGTACATTGTATTTTTCACGCGCATTGCTGTTTATTATAAACAATATTTTATTACTTTTTTGAATGTATCTTATTGGTGGAATAATTTGGTAATCATAATTTAAAAAAAAATATATATATATATATGCATGTGTGCGCACGTTTTGTATATATTTATCCATGTATCATATCGCTAACATTCACGAGATAATTTACAAAAGAACTTTATATAACAAATCTTCAAAATATAATTACTTACATAATTTTTCTGTATTCAGCTTCTGCTACTAATTGTTTACCTATCATCTGTTCCACGCAGAAAAAAACCAGGAAAGATAAATTATAGGGCAACTTTATTACCGAGGCGACACGCTTATCTCGCAATATAAACCGCTTGTTAATTGCGGCAATGAAAGCTCCGGTTTTCTAAAGAAGTTCAATCTTGCCTACCTTCTAGCTGCTGTTTTATCCTTCTTAAGGTCCATCTATAATCCACTTAAGACGCAAAGATAATGCCTACGTTTCTCGTATTGCGTGTTTAATGGTAACTCTAACGAGCCGAATACCCGCGACACTACGAATTAGCGTGGTTGCCTCGATAAAGCCCTAATTGCAATCGACGCGTAATCTTAACCATCGCCGGCAGGCGAGAGCCCTTTGCGGCAATGGAAACTTAAAGCGGGCGCCCTGGTAAAAATCAATTCCGCGTTCGAGAAGGTAGAAAGAAAAAGCAGGTGCTCGTAAGACTCGCCGGCCAGGTTATTATCCCATGTTGCCGAGAGCCCCGCCCAATAGCGTAACAAAGTGGCGATGCTGACGAGACTTGTGCCGAAATCTCATGCATGATCTTTTTTCTGGCTCTTTTAGGATCTTCATCTTTCGAAAAAGAAGTTCATAAATTTACAAAGGGTAAAATTGTTATTTTCATTCTTTCATTGCGATTTATAAATATACTACTATGTAAATCGATTACTTTCTTACATGTGTATTTCCTTTTACATTGTACTTTTTCATATTCTTTAATTATTTTTACTTTGCATACACAGATCCTGCAAAGGCTTTTACCTGAGAATAGTCATTTAAATTTTTATGTGAGATTAGAATACATTATTAAGTGTCAAAGGAGTAATGGTAACCCAATCCTTCAAGTTAAATAACATTTTGTTATTTTAATTTCCACACGTATCAAAATGTAAATCAATCCATTTCTGTGGTTAAATTTTCTTCGTTTACTCAAAGTAAAACGAATGGCTGCGTTCAGCAAAAAAAAAAACTAATCCATTAGCTTAGTGATTCTTTAATATGATTAGCTTCTACACTTACAATTAGATCCAGCGAAGAACTAAAGGCAAGATCCAATTCTATTAAAGAATCAGCGCAAACCGATTAGTTTTTCCTTAACGTATGCACTTAGTAAGTATATAATAAATTTTGAGTCAAATTTAATATTAAAATTTTGACAAATTAACGAGGTATACAGGGTAGTGGCGATCCAAAGAAATGATTAAATAAGAAACGATAATTCAAATTGAGTATAATTCGGTGTTACATTCGATTCGATATAAATTTAACAATGTAGAATAAGAGAAAAAGAACTCGAGGATTACATCAGTCGGAATTCGGACGACGGTTCTGTTGAACCACCGGTAGCTGCGCTACTGTGGACCTGGCGGAATAATATACGTGCCGCTCGGCAAGCGTGCCCCTGGGAGCCTAATCGATGCGTCGTCGCACGCGACTGCGTGCTTTTATCGCTGTCACGCACATAATTAATTTAATTTAGTCTAATACGTCGGCCCAGTGCGCCAGGCAGCGATTGTCGTTCCGATTGTTTGCACGGAAACGCCAACGTTAACCCCCCGGCCGTTTTCGCCGAACACGATATTCGTATCCATCAAATTTCGGTCGAGGAAGAATAAATCCTACTATATCGTGCTTCGCAGGTCGCAAATTTATACCGCCCCTGTAACTAAGTACACGAAAAATGTTCGTAGCAACGTACCTTACGTAAGATTATTTATATACCTAATCGTAATAAATTTTATGATATCTTTATGATAGTTTTGGCCTTACATTAAAACGTATATTTTATGCTATAACGTTTTATTATATACTGCGATAGTCTTTGAGGTCCACCTTCATTTTGCAGAATTATCAAAGTATTTTAGTATTAACTGTAAAGAAGAGGTAATATGCAGGGTGTTCCGGAAATGTACATTTTATGCTATAACGTTTTATTATGCTGTGATAGTCTTTGAAGTCCGCCTTCATTTTACAGAATTATTAAAGTATATTTTAATATTAATATAAAGAAGAGCTAATATATATATGTGTGTGTGTGTGTGTGTGTGTGTGTGTGTGTGTGTGTGTGTAGGATGTTTCGGAATCGCTCAACACCCGGCAAGAAGGTGATTCTTCATATAAAAATAAGTCGAAAATATAAAATAAAATTCTTTTGTATAGACATTTTCAACAATCTTTCAATTAATAAAATAAATACATTATTGAAATTATAATATTTATTGCATTATTTTAAAATTAATGTCAAATTCAGATGACAGATTGATATAGAAACAGCGATGAATAGTTAGATTGGGTGAACTCCAAGCAGATTAATTGTAGCTAGTGAAATGTATACACATATGTGTACTTAACAAATATTTAGACTCGATTTTTTTCGCAAAGGATTTTTTTCTATACGAAAAAATTGCATTCGATATTTTCGACTTACTTTTATCACTTCTTTTCCGAAACCACTACACTTTCCGGACATTTTGTCACGTAGAAAATATATTTCGTTACATATTTTCCATATAATATATCTTTTAATATATTTTAATAACAAAAGAAAAGATTTGTGTATATGTAAAAGCAATTTAAATAAATTTAAATAAATTTATTAAATGGCAAGGAGATATAAAAAGATTTTTCATGTTCCTTTTTGTATTTCATAAAGAGAAAAGGTATTTTTCAATCGATTATCATCACTTTGAACTTGGAAAGAAAGCTTTCTCCCTCTCGAATTCACGTATTTTCAAAGTAGTGTGAGGAAAACGCGTTACTTCCCTCCCTGGCCGATCTGTGAATTCATAGAATGACTCACCTGAACACGAACTTCCGGGAGGTTCACCTTCATGGCGAGCTCCTCCCTGGAGTAGACGTCCGGATAGTGGGACTTCTCGAACGCTCTCTCGAGCTCGTGCAGTTGGTAAGTCGTGAAGGTAGTCCGGTTGCGACGATGTTTCTTCTTGCCCCCGTTACCGTTTATGTCCTCCCCGCAGCCTGCGCCGAGTTCCTCGTCACTACCGCCGCCGGTGGAGTTGCAGCTGTTCTCACCTGGAAGCCGCAACAGAGAGAGAGCGGTCAGGGTCTCCTCGGAAACGGTCGTTACGGGTAATAGGAGCGGTAATGGTGATCGATTTATCTGGAGTCGCAGCTATTACCCCTATTATGCGCGCATAATAGTAGCTATTAGAAGTGTTGCAACGCGCGTGGCCGCGCGGAATTGCGTGCGTGCGTGCGTGCGTGCGAAAACGCGTTACGCTTGTATGAGTGAATCAGTCGCGGCGCGCGGTTTTAAAACGCCATTCGCGGCCTGGATTTCTTCTCCTTCTATTTTTTTTCTTTTTTCTTTTACGTTTTGTGATCGAGCGAAAAGTACGATGCGTTACGCTTCATTGAATGTAAAAGAGACAACGAGGATTAATTAGAGTATTTGACGTTTAATGTATGCGATGCTTACATTAAACGTTGGAGAACGGAAGGACGCCGGTTATGGACGGATGGATTACTTTTCTCGGCGAGCGTGCGAGAGCGTATATCTGTATAAAGTATCGGTTGTCATATTTTCTTTATATATGAAAATACAATATAATCTCGCAGTGAGTTTGCAAAAATAAAATGTGAATCAGCACGATGAACCATTATGGGAGTTAATGAACGTTCTTCCCATATGATTTTGTCGGATAACGAAGCGAACGAACCAAATTGCTATTTTTTTCTTTCGTCAATAATTTGAAATAAATAGGAGACACTTCTTCCTTTATGATATTAATGCGAAAGTGGAAGATGGATATTGGTTATCGAGAATAAAGCTGTGCCAGGAAATAATCATTTATATCTCCCTCTCTCAATATTTCTAAAATACAATAAAATATTTTATAATCGGAAGTAGTAACGGAAAAATGTTTTTTTTTCTTTTTAATGATTTTTGCGCAATTAAATGCAGACTCCTCAAATCTTTTTGAAATAAGATACGTTGCAAAATGTAAGCTGCTGTCTCTAACAAAAAAAGTTTTATGTGTATACATATATGGCATATATAATATTTGTAAGAAGAAATAATGTAAGAGAAAATGATATGTGTTTGTGAAATTATAAACTACACTTAATACGATTAATATAAAGTAACTTGTTATAAAGTGACTTATTAAAAACTTTATATTTCTGGATAGAAATAAAAATATGCAGAATAAGTCTAGTATATACTTTTGCGATTAAGATATAAAGCCAGTAAAGTAAAAGTCAAGTCGGAAACATTCTCATTTCTAGGTGCTCGAAGGAAGGATCATCTGCCCTGGAAGAATCATCTAATCGTCTAGAAATAAACAAGAATAATCGCCATAAATACGCGACCAGCACGCACTCGTTTCATACCTGGGTAACATGTGTACGTGTATTTGTGTAACTGGACTCTATCGTTTCGACACTACTTATCTGACGTTGCCTTATTAAGGCAACGGCCACATCGCCACGTCGTTATCGTCGTTAACGAAAGGGTCAGCGCAACGAAAGCGACGGGGATTTATTTACGTTACCGTACAATCACGCGATCATTTTCACTGCAAATAACGATGGCACATTCCACCGTATTTGTGTATTTAGAAACGTGGCCACGAGTATTCGTGCCCAGTATTCCGGTCGAGGTCTAATCGATTTAAGCGCAGAATTAATTGTCCGACCGACTACGATATGCCGTGCCGGGCGCGCACTGTGCTTAATTGTTTCACTGTCAAAGCGCAGGTGCATTGTAATGAGATTTGCATTGGCGATGACAGCGCTGGCGATGACATCGTGTGCCGCTGTAGTCTTGAAAAGCTTCGTTTTTATACGATATCACGATACCTCTGCTTGATTTATTCAGGAAATGTATACGCGAGAGATTATTCGTGATTTACAACAATTGTACACGTAGACAGTTTTGAGGCAAACTACGAATTTTGCTGGTAGACTTTGAGTTAGCAGCGGAAACGTATTGATTTACAACGCTAACTCTAAAATCTACATATTTTGTGTCTTTTGACACAACGGTAGATTGATTCTGCGTAATTTCTTCGAGCAATTACTTGGTATTCCGTTTTTAAATTCAATTTTCATTTTAGCTTTATCTCACAAGAAGTTTTTTTCTTAAAAAAAAAATATTACGAGAGAAAAAAAATGTACGCTCGCGTGCACTGCACAGTTTCGTTAGCCCGTTGCTTCGAGGAAAAATACTACTACTGTATCTTACCGTGCACTTTTACCTACTTTCGTATAAATTACAATTTTCTTCGTAAATTACACGATCGTCGCCAGACCGTGCAATTTCGCGGATTAAATCATTAAGTGAGTAATCACTAGGTAATTTTCGAGCACTTTGAGTCGCTATGAAAGAACTTAAAGCGCGTCAACACGCGGCACTTCCACCGAGCTATTACGCTATCTCTTTCCTTGCAAATTACACCTTTCGTTGAGGTTGATGATTGCTCGCGTCTGAACGCCCAATCAGAATTCGTTTCATTATTTTCATTTTCAAGGTAATACCGTTCGGAAAGCGGAATTTCTTCACAATTTCCTTGTACATTAGATTGCTATAATTAATAATTATTAATCATATATAAGAAATTATTAAATTAAAAATGTGATAAGGCTCGTATGAATAAACATTTGAAACTAATAAGAAAAGAGCTTGCGAGCCGAACTAAGTGTTTTGCATTGATGTGTAATTATTTTAAAATTAGTATCAATGCCATAATACATAACAAACATTTTAACTTTTTAATAAACGATCATCCTCAGTGTTACAATATTAAACAATAATTAAAGCTAGCCGTTAAACTCGTAGGAATTTAAAACGCACGCGGAAATGTTATTAATTAAATGTTATAAGTAATTATTAATCATACGTACAAGAAATCTTTATCAATCATTAAAAATTCATTATTTTTATTTGCTATAATCGATCCAAATGTTATGCATATCGTTAAACGATTAAATTTAAACCAATTTCTTGAATTAAATTTTGTTATTTTTAACTTCCATGTATGGCCAAATTTATTATTTGGACACATTTTAATATAAAAAATGTGGTTAAAAAACAACCACATTTAATCAATCCATTTCATTGATTGAATTGTGAAAGTTCAAGTTTCAAAGTAAGCAACGTTTATATTAACATATGCGTTTTTGTTAGTAAATAATAAATTAAATTTGAGTCACACATTTAATACAATTCTTGAATCAAATTGTTTAACTCCATTATTTTAATTAAATTAGTGACATATTGAACAGGAGTAGTTGCGACCTTTAGAAGTAATTAAAAGTAAACTCAAATTACAATATGACATTATAAATTAAATGAAGTATCAAAGATTTTGATAGTAAGATACACGAATGTTGTGACAAACTTTATAAAGACTTTATATGGATAAAAATTGCGCGGTGAGCAATTAAATGACGAATAAAAATAAATTTTAATCCTTTGTTTCACAGTCCAGGCTCAGGTAAGATTAATACGACTGCACGTTATTACACAATGCGGAACGCGTTGCGCTCACTGGGCGAACTATTACGCGATCATTTTCCCTGCAAATTACATCCATCCCGGATGCTGCGGTTACTCGTCGACGAACGCCCGATCAAACCTCGCATTATTCCCGTCCCCGAGTGTAATATCGTCCAAGAAACCGAACGGCACCACCGACGAAGAGATTGATCCTGCGGGATCGCGGCAGCAAATAGGTATTTTCCACCGTGCACACTCTCCCTCCACCCCTTCCTTTTGCCCTCTACATATCCGCGCTCTCCCATACTCTCTCGTAAATCCTAACTTCATCCTGATCCGTCCTGACGCCGACGTAGCGATCAAGGGAAGTTTCTCTTTTCGGCACTACCCCCTCTCATACATACATATTAATGTATATATATATATATGTACTTCTCATTAACTGCATAATTAACCTTCTCTCGCGTCGCAGCGCAACGCGTTAAATCGAATTGTAGGGGGAATAATCGGGGCTGGCTCGCGATGGCGACGTGTTTGCGATCCTGCGCAACCGCGTGCACGCATCTAACACACGCGCGTCTCTATTGTATTTTGTATTCGTGGCGCCCACGCATCTTCGTGAGAAGCTGTGCCCGATACTAACCAACAATCTAATAACCTCGCCTTAGCTGGCGATTGACCCGCCTGTACCGGCTAATTATCAACAACAATCGATAATGCCTCCCTCTCTCTCTCTCTCTCTCTCTCCCTCTCTTTCTTGAGAGTTCTGATGCTACCGTCCCATCGTCCTTCCCCCCTTCCTTCGCACTTTCCTCCTTTTCACGGATCCCTTCCGATCTTCTCTGTCCCCTTCATAGACGGAATTGCTAGTCTCCTAGTTATTTCTTGACGTGCATCCGCTTTGGTGATTACTCTGTTCAGATTGATCTCCTTTCTTTCTTCGAGGACAGTCTGTTTAAGAAGCTAAAGAAGCGTAAACCAATGCCAAACAATTGCTAGGAGATAATTTTGTTTTGACAATATTTGAAAGAATTTTAGAGAAAGTTACAAATTTCCATCAACAATCTAAGATCCTGAAATATCATTAATTGTTTCTTTTCCATTTAGTGAAGATTTCTAGTACAAGTATCTAGTAAATGCGAGTAAATGTTATAAATGTTTAAAATTTTGTAGACTTTGGAGAGAAGGTTTTCATTAGAAACAACGTTTACTACTTTTTAAATATTTTTATTTGATTATTTTCACATTATAGAAACATTTGGATGTTTGAATTTACATTTACATTATAAATGAAAGCGGTTTCTAAATTCTGAATTGATACGTTATTTAATTTAATTGTAACTGCTTCGTACCAAAAAACGCACGGCAATTAAATATAATTCAAGCTTAATAGCGTTATCGCTATTTTAAGCTACTCAGTAAATTTTAATTATCCAATCGTGAGATTGCAAGACAGGAATTGCGAGTGTTTGCAGATTCGTGGCGATCGAAGGTTATTAACTAATTTAATTCCGCTTTCCGAAAGACGTGCACGCCAGAAGTTTATTCGTGCATCACGCTCCGTGAAGTTTTA